CAGGGTGATATGGTGATATGAAAGTAAATATAGTGAGGCAGAAGAAAACAAAAGCCATCCCCCTACATGCGTCTCACATATCTATTAATATCAAAAGGCATGTCATCTGGAGAACACACACAAACTGTGACAGCAGTAAGAAGCTCATTTCAAGAATCAATAGAACTCAAAATGCTTATGGAAACTGCAGACTGTGACATATCAAAATCCCAGCATTATACCCACAGGACCAATACAATGCTTGTGTCTCTGCAAAAAGACGAACTCTCAGATCATCTAGATATAAATACAGAAGTGTAGTCTAAGGTTGTTTGGCCATAACTTTGAATACTTCCTAACATCCATCCACCCAGCATCCATAGAACCAAAAACATTCAAACATAAGACAGGTTACAAATAAGAATAGGCCTTTCAGCCCATCATGTCTTGGCTGATGGTACTGCAGCTAATTAATCATCCAGCCATTTATCAACCAGATATCAGCTTCAACAGCATGCCTGGATAATCTGTTCAATTTAAATTATAGAACACCCCTGGAGCAGTTGGGGTTAAGAGCCTTGCTCAGGGGCTCAACAGAGTAGGATTCCTCTGCCTGCCATGGAATATGAACCAGCAACCTTCCAGCCACAGGTGCAGAGTCTTAGTAATGGGTTAATGGTGTCAAGCTATTGTGTCCTAGAAACCCAATCTGAGGTGCATTAGTATCTGGCCTCACTTTACTGTGTTTTTTTCTCACTTTTAAAGTACTTTATGAAAAGTTACTCCAACTCGCTCTCCTTTCCCTAATAGATTATCCACATAACTCTAGAAATCATTATTGTCAATCTTGTCCTCATTATCTGTTGTATTTCTTATTAACCAAATTTTTAATTTATTTGTATTTTTTGTTGACATTCAACTCTGCCTATTGTATTTTTGTTTTCATTTTGTTTCACTTAGAAGAGGATGAAGGATAAATGTGAAAACTCACAGGTTTTGGGATTATATCATTACATGTGAGGAAAACCCATAAAATCTTCTGTGCTACTGATTGCTAAACTGATACTTCATATAAATACTATGTAATTGTTAACTTTATTATATGCTTTATCTATGCAGTTTCTATTACGATCAGAAAACGTCACAGGAAGTAGAATAAAGCCAGGGAGTTTCACATTTCAAGATCCTACATTTCCTTAAGGAGCACAAACACCACACAATAACAGATATTATATATTAAGAACTAAGGTTAATTTATAATTTACAGATATTACATTTCTTATTCATTTATTTTATGTTTTGTTTATGTTTTACTTATATCACATTACTTTGCTGTGTAACTTCATTTTACTAGAGTGTATTCACTGTGTAATTCATACAGTAAATTAGAGTCAGTAGGTTACACAACAAATGAGTTATTAAAACCAATGGTACAGTGCTAAAATTGTACACAAAACTTAGTCAATAACATTTAATTTCTTGATGAATACACCAGTAATGCCAAATCTAGTTTGAGATGAAAGATTAAAACTTATTTCTGAAATACTGCACTCTTTTCTCAAGTGCCGTTAATAATATTTTCATGGCAGAGCCGTTAAGAGTTTTGATGAGAACAATATATAGTTTATGAGCTACAGCTCATACAGTATGAAGAGTAATAAACCAGTCTGGTCCAATGAACAACTCTCGTTTAAATTAAAAGTACGCTCCCAAGTCCAAAGATCATCTACAGTGTACTGTATGTGGTATCAGTACCTATAATCAAGGCTACTGATTAATTTATGAAATAGGAGTTTCAAAAGATATTAAGCTTGTTCCTCATGTAGGCCTTGGGATAGTAGAAAGTACTATTTAAAGTCACCAGTGCTGTTTCCGGAGTAGTGAGTACTCTGATAACTATATAACAACAAAAGGATTTGTATTTACACTTTAATAAATAAATATCAATGTAATTACTTATTTTATTAACTTAAGTTTCATAAAATAATTTTCTAAAATACATTTTTAATATTTTGTGGTGTTTTCTTTTTGTGTCAAAGTTTCAACAAGCCTTTTGGTGTTTATTCACAATGTTCTTTATATAGTACATACTGTTTTCATGAAACAAAAATGATTGCCTAGTACCAGACTAACACCAGTTTCACATAAAATTATAATGTAAAAAAATTCATGAAGGATAAATTAAGATTTAAGAAGGAAAAAAAAACAAGTACATGATATAAAATAGAAGTGCATGGAAGATTTAATGGCAGATGTTTGCATATTGTTGATTGTAATTATTTCAGGATTCCAGTAATGGACTTGAAAGCTGGATCACCTTTCTCTTTTCCAGTTAAGACTGCATTTCTCAGGCCAGGCATCTCAGCAAATGGTAAATAGGCTTCACCTGTACATTTAAAATTAACACTTGGCATAATCAGGTTAATGAAACTGAAACAAAGAAAAGCATATTATAGCTCCATCTGCTGGTAATTTGACTGAGAGCATGAAACTTGTCTCACTGTGACTCATTGTACTTTTGTGGAAGTACAAATGGAATAATAATGTAGTTGAACTATTGCATGATTGTGTGGGTTATTCCTGGTTGTGCCCCTTTTTTGTCTATGCTATGAAAAATCTTTAGGCTGCCTGTGGTTTTGAGATATAGTACAATTAGGAAAGATTTCTTTCCTAAGGCCAACTTGAATATGATGTTGAAATATTGCATTATGATATTGGGACAAATGAAAATGCTTATTTAATTAGGAATTCATCTGTTTTTGTCTACTTCTGCTCTTGAACACAATGCACATAAATCTAGGTTTTACAACATGTAATGTGTTACATACTGGCCTTTACCTTTTGGACAACAGAAGCAAAGGCATTGTTTGATGTAGCCATCAAGTGAAAAAACAAGGGGTAACAAGTAGTAGCATGTACTATATGCAAATATGCAGATTTATAAGTACAGTGCTTCTTTGGCAATACTTGTATCTTATGATCATTAGTGTGCAGGTCAGCACACTAATATCAAAGTCAAATGTTGACTGTATGTCCATTGAGATTTGAATTGGTCTGCATTGATTCACTGTTATATTCCACTCTTACCATAAGGAAGGCCAGACTTTTTTCTGGAGTCTTCAGTATCAAAGAAAGTTTCATGTTGTTCCCAGTGCTTGTCACAGGAGGCACACAGAAAGCTGGATTCAAAGAACATACAACGGCATCCTGTAAAACGTCAAATGAAATGTGTATTTTAGAAATGCAAACATGATGTGTGAGATGAGTATTTGTTGAATAGGTGCAATAGGCACAAGGCAGGTTACGACCTGGAAATTATACCAGTCCATCACAGACACAGATTCGCACACACTCACATTTGGGCCAATTTTCCCAGAAGCCTATTAACCTACCAATATATCTTTGGATTGTGGGAGGAAACCAGAGCACCCCGAGAAAATCCACACAAACTTGGGAAGAACATGCAAACTCCACACAGAGAGCACTCTAGAATTGAACCCAGGACCCCAGTGCTATGTTGCAGCAATGCTAACATCTATGCTCCCATATACTGTATTGCAGCTTACACTGAAGGGTGTGCATCTTAAACTGAAGGATGAGAGGTGATTCTCTGCAGTGACTCTTCTATGCAGCTGTGGTTAGACACTTTCATGCTTTTATGTGGCCTTTTTCAGTTATGTTGTTTAAGTCCCATGGCAGGAACAGGAAGGCAACCACACAATATCAGAACACCTGAACATGAAACACTGAAAGCAATTGCATTAAAAAGCCTTTACCTCAAGGTATAAGCTTGCTAATGTAAGTAACAATTTGTCACCCTCACTTAATGATAAAATGTGCCTTTAACATACAGTAGCTTTTATATTTTTGAAGCTTCTACAGAGTTTTGTACCTTTCTTCTTACACCTATGGGTGGTTGGGTCATGCTGCTCGTGAGAATGTTTGCATTGACACCCTGCCCTCCAAGCAGAGGTATCAAAGCCTGGCCGCTTCCTCAGCCAGAATTCACCCACTTCCTCTGGCCGTGATGGTATGAAGGCGAAGGCTGCACATCGGCAGGAATGTACAATGCATGACACTTGCACATCACCTCCTGAGAGAAGCAAGAGAAGTCTTAAGGCATTTTCGGAAAGAAGACAAATACAAGAGTGAGAACAGAACCTTTGGACCATTAGCAAAACTAGAATTTAGAATGATCCTAACATAAACTATTATAGATTATTCTTAAATGAAGCTTTTAGATTGCATTAAATTAAAATTAGATAACAACATAAGAAAGGTTTCATTCTTGAAGGAAGAAAAGGCTGTATCTTCAACAAATTGTCTGGTAAGCTTATTCCAGATTCCTACAATCTCAGTTAAAAAAGGACTTAGATAAGGACATGAGTACTGCCATTTGTTTGAGGGCTCTGCATTGAAAAACTGAACAAAAATCTTTTTTTTTGTTATCTATGGTGAAAGAATAACAACACATTCAGAGGGTGAGACTTGGAGGCGTGTTTAAAGATAAACTGCTGAGCTGTGAGATACAGTAGCATACCTGTGTAGCTCTTGTGTTCATTCAGACGATGTCCACAGAAACACTTGGACTCATCTCCAACACGGAAACAGTCCCACAAATAGTCTGGACATCTCCATCCAATATAAATGCCTGTTACATCCCATAAAAAGTAATTGAAAATGTTTTTGTAGTATTACAAACTCAATATTGTAAATATTGTGCATTTGACAAAACACTGAATGAATAAAACAGGTACAGCCATTTCTACTATACTATTAATACAAAGGACATTGAAAATTATAAGGATGAATTTTAGGTGAGCAAGAGTGAAGGCTTGATGCTTGATCTAAGCATTTATCCTTCTGCACTCTTAGTTTTATGTAGGTTGTTTGGTTTAGGATATATTTCCGGAATCTTTTTCTTCTCACCAAACCATCTATGAAGATGGCTTTCACTATTTGTATAATGGATTATTACTTACCATAACTCGCTTGGTCAGCTATAAAATGCTGATCTTTATCTACTTTCTGTTTTTCTCCCCCTGCATTTCTATGCTGTGAATGAAACAAGCCTCCATTCTGCAATGCGTCTTTGTATTTGCTTCATTCACAGATATGGTACCATAAGTGATGATACATATGAAGTAAGACAATTATGCAGTGTAGCATACCTGTCTGAATTGCTTTCATAGCTGCATCTGTTTCTGGGTCGAACAGTTTTTTCACACTCTCTCCAAACTGCTCTCTGTGCATTGCCTTGGCAACAGACACAATATCATTGCTTCTTGCAGGTACTATGGGTTTCACTGTATACCCTATAAATAAACAGCACAGATTTTTGCTCACAGCAGATGAAAAGAAGAATCTGAATTTAGTTCCCTTTCTGTAAATGGCCACAATATAAAAAAATTATATTGATCTGAAATCAGGGGATAATTCTGAAATCTGAAATATTGGATAAAGAATGACAAGTGCTCTTAAGTTTCAACACCACCAAAATCATCGGTACATTTTTGTTTTTGCTTATGACTTCTTTACGAATAATCTCTAAGTATTAAAGTGAATATTGTACTTTACTACTGTGCTGTATTAAAGTAAAGCAAATACTGTCTTTAAAGTTCTCTACTTTAACAAACACTTTTGTTTTGGAGATACTTCAGGTTCAGCATGTGTAGAATACAATTTACATTTGAGAGTAAGACAACGTACATATTAATCTGAGGACAGGAGGCACTTTACTATACAAAGAATTGTGGGAGTCTGGAACCTGTTACTCATAATTCTTTTTGTAGGCGACTGAAAAGTCTCCCCCACTTTGAAACCTTTGTAAGGTACTTTATGGTTTCAAAATTTTACAAGCACTCAAAACAGGAGTTATGTTGACATGAGTTTTTGATTTTATCAGGAATTTTGATCAAGTCACCAGAGAGTGCTGTGGAACTAGATCTACTGTAGGCAGTGTCTCTATGTTACAAAGTACCTTCCATTTTTGATGATTAAGTAGATGATGGTCACTGAGATATTCAGATGGCTTACATTTTTTGTGCTGTTCTCCTACTTCATGCTTTAACAGCTTTAACCCGGAGTTGCTTTCATAGCTCCTTAGTTTTCATGGTTGAGTCTTTGCTTGAAATTCACTACCTGACCAAGAAATCTCACAGAAAAGGGTGTTTTTGTTATGAAATCACAAGTACCACTATAAATTAATATTGTGGCTCAATAAGGTAATTTTGTGCACCTAAAGTAGTTTAATTTAGATTTGCCACACCCAAATGTCTTGAATACCTTAGTAATCATGACTTTTCAATTTTTCCTTAATATTATCTATTTGGTTCTTTCTTTGTGGGGATGGAGGGGTTGTTTGCTTTAAATATGTGAAATCAGTTACAAGCATATATGTAACAAATATTAATTGCTACTTCCAACAGATCTGAATGCAAACATTAAACAGGAAAGATCTGTGTACTTGCACTGAACACTGCAAGTATGATGTAAACCAACAGAAAGCAGAGTTTTGAATGAAATGTCCCTCAGGCCAAGGATGGGGTACATTTGCTGGTAAGTGATTAGCTCTTAGTTCCTTTGCCCAAGATGAAATTAGTAGATTAATTGACTGAAAACTATTATCTGCAACTGCCTTTGATTGTACTAACAGTGGCCTGACCTGGATTGTGTAGATTCTCTGTACCATAACGCCTTCCATGCTTCATTTAAGGTGCATTAGAATTGGATCTTATACAATATAAACCCCTGCATTATGTAATTTAAACTAATGCACTTTGACTGCACATAGCTTATTAAACTTCTGTGACTTGTATTACTTGTATAATGGAACAAGTAATAGGTTTATTCCATGCTGAAAAAAAGAAGAAAGAGAACACAACGTTTCGGCCGTGGAGCCTTCTTCAGGTGTGAGAGAGACAGGGCAG